TTTCTAGAAAGAGGTGGCGTGATACTAGTCACGTGACCTCGTTGACGCAACATTATATATATATCTGAATAGTTGAAACAGGTTATTTAAATTATTTAAATATCGTTATTTATTAAATAATGGTTTAAATATCAGTGTTGAACAGATATTATTTTTTGAGTCTGTTTGTTTTAGTCTTCTCTTCAAGTTGCGGTAGAAGGATTTTGTTCGTTTTAGAATTTTGGCATAAAGCTACATAACTGATAGATCAGAAAGAAAATAATCAAAGTACCCACCATCACCTCTTAGGCTACTCTTGTCTCATCGAATAGGAGCATTTGGTTCTCTCTGTTATCGTTCAGTCACGGCACAGTCTGCGTTTTAGTGGTGACAGGATTTGAGGCATGAACCCATGAGTCCATAGCCTAAACATACTAGTCACTTAGCTAATTCCAGTATATTTTGACGGGAAAGGTATACACCATAAAAATAATCAATTGAAAGCAATTACCAACAAAATTAATATAACAAAAACAATAAAATGATTTTAAACAAAAAATGAACGTGAAACTAATGTTTTTGACAAAATAGTTATTGAGAGATGGTTCATTAATGTTTGATGATTTAAATTTAGCTTTTAATAACCATAAAGCATGCGCGATCTGTGATGAAAAGAAGATGGAGAGTTATCTTTGACCAAAAGTAGGAAAAATTCATTAATTATATTTAAACTTTTTTCCATATTTTGTTATTCTATTCTAAGTTAATTGTGTGAACTACATTTTGTTTATTTTTCATAATGATGATCTGTTTGTTTGAAGTTAAGCACAAAGCTACACAATAGGCTATCTATGCTCTGCCCTCCACGGGTATCGAAACCCGGATTATACCGTTGTAAGTCCACAGACATACCGCTGTGTCATTATGATGAAACCGCCAATTGCCCTTGTACAATATATTTGAGCTGGTGCTGTTTTTCGTTAAAATTCCTCCAAACTTTATAAACTTTGCAATTACCATTATTCCCTCAATCTTCTTTATCCTTTTAGGTTTTCTCTAAAGTATACCTGCAGTTTATCGACCCCGTTTTTAATCTATTTACTATTTTTAGAGCTATTTGATTTATAACGAATTTTCGTATTGTTTCAAAAGAATAAAACAACATTATTTAGCTCTAATAATGAATATATTAATTAACGTACACTGCTCGAATATCCGGCGTAATTTTACGAACATTATTTACAGAGAAAGCCGAGATTACAATCCGGAAATGATGTCATAACTAGTTGCGTACAATTTTCCTACTCATCAGAAAAAGTTTAAATAATTTAATCATCAGAAAGAGTTTATATATATATTACTTATACGTTTTATACTATTCGTTTTAATTTAAGTGTTGGACAGTCTTTACATCCCCAGCGTACAAATACGCTAAGCTAAGCTGGAGGTTTAGGCTTAGTAAATGGGAAAGAATCCGAAAGATAATGTTCAGTTAAAATGTTTGTGTTGTTAATGTTAGTACGTAAAGTTGTAACTTGTAGACCTACTTTACTTTAAACTTTTAGTCAGTTTTGTAGCACAAAGAGTGTACAAGTTACTTTTTTATGATGATATTAAATAACTAATTCATCATATTCCTTTTCTTGAGTTGAAAATCAATGCTCTTTTGCAGTATAATGAGTTAAGTTAAATGTTTCATAGGCGAAGTTGGCTGCTGGACAGTCAAACTCAAACTGGACTGGAACTTGGAAACAGATATTATGAATATCCGGGATACTGGGTCGTTTCCTTAAGAGTCGGGTTGGAAAATGGCGGTGCAGTGTGACGGGGGTGGAAAAGATGAACTAAAAACACATTTTATGATACGTGAAGGAGTGTACAAACTGATGACCCATTCCGAATATTCAAGGCCTAATCGTGTTGGCTATAACACGCAGACAAACACACCCGTGAAAGTATCATTTGTAACTTTACCTGATCAACCTACAGGGTGTAGTGACCATATTTGCTTCAATGTTGGAAGGGAATTATATGTTTATGTGTATAAAGGTGTTAAAAAGGTAAGGCAATTTATACAAACACTTGAAACAGTGTATAATATTGTGTGAGATACTTTAAACTATGCCTAGACTGTGTGGTATTTTGTGTAGCATTTGTAATAAATTTAAAAATTTGTCTAAAATGTTTAATTTAAATATCATTATATAGGCTCCTTAATAATTCAGTAATTGCAGCAAGTATTTGGCTAATCCAACTGCTAAGTTATGTAACTTAAATGGTAAGAAATGCTGGTCATACTTTCTTCACACTCGGTTCTCAATCCTAGACTAGTAGTAGTAGTAGTAGTAGTAGTAGTATGCTTCTTATGGATTTTAATAAAACAGTTACAATTCATAAATGACACTATAACTAATACTATTACAAATTACTACTACAATTTGAAGACTTGTGTAAAATTGAAGTTCTAAGTTTACTGATTGTTTATTATTGAAAAATTTTGCTTTTAATGCTAGTAACAGTATTATTATTAGCATGTTCAAAAAAGTAGAAATTGAGAGGTATAATACAAATAAACACGCAATAACTCATTACATCCAAAATTATTATAAAATCTATTATTGAGACTGATAAATTTCATACATTGTTTGTAATATTTGTTAATTTCTGTTTACAAAGTTTTTAACTTGTTTAATAATGGCTGATTTTTAGGCCTAATTTATTAGTTCAAAATTTGTGTTTTCTGAACAATAGATTTATATTTGTTGAGGAATGCAGTTAAAACTGTGAAAAACGTTGAAATAGTATTATGGAAGGTAATTGATGAATGGACTTCTAATGAATAATAGATATAGTAAAATCAGGCTAGATTTGGACATCATCTGAGAATAAGTAAGAGTAATTATTGAATGCAGGGAAGTTTTGTTACTTAAAGCTCTATGTATATAAAGAAGGAAGGATATATAGAGAGAGATAAGTGTGTTCAAAGACCAATTACAGCACACTGTTTCATGTAATGTTTTTATGCTATTCACATAACCTTTTGTTTTTGGAATTTTTGTTTGATTTACATTCTTTATAGATATGTAGTTAATACTTTACTTAACTTTTCTTTCACAGTTTTAATATTATATAATTAAAAATATTTTAATAGATTTAAGCAGTGTTAAAGAATATGGAAAATGTGAATTGAGAAGTGGGATTAATTTTTGCATAATGTAGAAGGAAAAAAATTGAAGTGTAATTGAGAAAACTTTGAGGAGTTGCATCTGACTACAGTGTCTAGTGCTACAAAGGTCTGAGATTTATCTGTTTACATATTACTTAATAAGTGAGTGAGTATGGGTTACAAGCATTATAAAATTAAAATATTCCAGCATTTGGAAATTGAAATTGTATTTTAAGTTTGTCTGTGAAAATTAGTTTTATTTTTTTATAGTTAATTTTTACTTTTTCAAATGCTAAACTTATTAAGCATTTTATACTCAAAATGAAAGTATTGTTTCATATTTATTAATAAAACATTAGCTATTTAAGTTAAAAATGTTTGCATATTAACTTTCATTTATAACACACCGATTCATGCAGTTGAACTAGCAGATATTGTGTTAAATCTTTATTTATGGTTAGTAGCCTATGCAATCACTGAAGTATAATTATCAAGTAGCTACAATTTTTTTAATTATTAATTACTAACTAGTTTTCATCTTAAGTTTTAGCTGCTAATCTATGCTTTCTTAAGGAAAGTTCTGAGAAGGACTATTTCTGTGGTGGTTGTGGCCAGGATTCAAACCTGGGTCTTTTTGATAGAGAGGCTGGTATGGTATCCATTTATGTGAGGTCTCATCAATTAGGACATTAATCAACTAACTAATTTTTCATGGCACATTATACATGTACTTTAATTTATATTTTTTGGTAAATTTCTGTGAGGTAGCATAAAAATCATATTAGAAGAGAGTCACTTTACAGTGTTTTATATTTTATATTTGTACTTCTGTTACCTTTTTGAACATGTTGTGAAAAACAAAACAGAAATACTTGCAATAAGGTGTGACAAGTGGATTTACTTCATGGTATCACACAAACTTTTCCTCGTAGTCCGACAATTTCTTGCCATAGTACTGCACAAGTGTACCTCACCAAGCAGAAGTACAACTAATGGATTTTGATACTGAAAATGTACTAAAAATAAGGTCAAATTCTAAATTTCATTTTTTAGTGGATAATTGACACTTTGAGAACCCATCCGAAATGTAATTACAAACTCAAAGGTTAAAGAATAGGAGAGAACATTTAAAAGCTTAGCCATCTCATAGTCTTCAACAAAATCACTGTGATAGTATTCTTTAAGGGCCTAAATCCTATTTTCACATTTCATTTACCTTTAAAATACTTCAAAAAATTATTGTTAACATTATCAGCCAAGTGTTTTTCATAAGTGCTTCTGGATTTCCTAATTTATCGTAAATTCCTAGCTTTATAGTTCTGTAAGTCTTCCCACTTAGCAATTTCGACTAATTTTGTTAATATTTTATATAAATAAGTATCATAATTGAGTGTATGTGCATTAGTTTATTTATTATTTATAACTTCCTTGTACATGTAGTCTGTTTAGGCTAAGTGTTCATCATAAATTATATGAAAATTTGAACGATTTAACTACTGAATTAGTACTAATCTATATCAAGCCAAACTAAGTATCTGGCAAAAGAATCAATTATCCATCACAACCGTAATTTTTTTTTATAATCACAACTGGAATGGGTTCAGTTTTTAGGGCACTCTGTTTAGAAAGTCATGAGTCTTATTAGTCATTGAATATTACTTTACTTTTTTTATTAATTACAATGAGATTCTGTTTTTAGAAGATAAAAGAAAACTTGTGTCAGAGACTAATTGACTTGTAATTGTTCATGCTTTTCAAACATCAAATTGTGCACATTATTTAAAATTAAACTATGTTTATGCCAATTTTTCAAAATCAAGTCATCTCACATTCAAATTAACCCTCAAATGCTGTCTTATTGTTAGTTATATTTTTAACATGTTGGAAATTCACCAGGGAAGAAGAAACTAATTTCAACAAGCAGTATCAGTATTAAAATTAAATATATTGTATTCTTTGAATAAGTTAGTTGCCTTATGTTGCTAAAGACCTTCAAGGTACTTGGAAATAGCTACCCCTCCAATCTAAGTCTACCTTGTTTATATTCAGCATAGAAATATTTTTTACTTTTCAGCAAGATATTCGAGGAGTTTCATGTCATTAAGCAAACATAAAATTTATTAAATTTATCACAAGGATCCAAAATGCTTATTAACTTTTTCAAAGGTACAGAAATATTTACAAGAGGGTCAATAACTTTTAATGACAAATCTTGCCCATAAATACCCATTTATACAGTCTTGGCAATCTGTTTTCTTAACATCTCAGAAAAAAAAATTCTAGCCATCACTTCAGCTTTGCCTAATTCATACTCATGAAAGAACATCCAAATATAGAAGGATGATTGGATAACACCTGTTCATACTAGTTACCTTTTTCCACACTTATACTGCTAATTTTGTGATTGGTCAGAACTGAGATTTGTATTTACACAAAGTATGTCTAGTATTATGTGTTTGAAACTACTGAGAATATGGTCAAACTAAACAGTTATTAAAAACAACCTTTGGCCCTTGCTGAAATGGAACAACTAAACTCCACTTGTTGCTAGGTGACAATAAAAAAAATCCATGTGTGTTTGCATACAGTGTTGAATTATTGTTAACTCTTACAAACACCATGACAAGATGGTTAAGTGTAATGTTAAAACAAATGATAGGTATTTAAGTTAAGGTATTTAAATGTAAGTTTTTTTTAAATTTGTTATGTAATATGTTTCACATATTTCAGCTTTTCATCTACTTGTGAAAGAAGTAAATAGATATTTCAGTTTTATTCACTCAGATCAAAAATGGTTTGGTCTGTTAAGTAAGGAATACATGAATATACTGCTTTCCTTAATTTTTTCTTTATCAGTTACATGATTGTGTTTATTAAAAGGCTTTTTCCGTGAGTTAAGCTATGAATATTATTTAAGATTTATATTCTGTTCCCGTAAACAACATAGAATAGTATGGATATGCTAATAATAAATTAAGAATGAAATTAAAGACATTTTTCTACCTTTTAGGAATGATGGAGAGATGGAAGTTCAGTTTTGTGTGTTTTGATGTGAAAAGTGGTCATAACATTCTAGGCACAATTTAGCATAAAATTGAAACTGTAGTAAAATTACAAAAAATGATCCTAGCTTAACTGTTGACAAAATGACCTTTTCCTCCCCATTTATGAATGCATTTAATATGTCATATTTATTCACAGATTTTATCTGTACTTAGTATAGTTTCTGTTAATTTATACAAAAATGTGCCTAAGGTAATTTTTACCTTGAGTGTTTCATTTGAAAGTGTGACAAAGTTTCTATGTATAAAAAGGATTTTTGATTCACACTTCAGGTCATACATAATCATCTATCAACAGCAAACCAAACATATAAATTATAGATGATGAAGTTTAATATCTTTTCATGTTTTGCAGTCAATGTTTCACTATTTGTGACTTGTGTATTGGTTTTGTGGTAAAAAACATGTTGATTAATTTTGGGAAAGAGTAGGTACATGCAAAAAGAAGAGGGTTTATAAACTAAAAAAGTGTAAAAGTTTATTAAAATTTCATGGTATTGCTGGTAAATACTATTTGGTTTTTAGGCAGCAGACCTTACAAAACCTGTGGACAAACGTGTGTATAAGGGCACCTACCCCACCTGCCATGACTTCAACCTGCACACACTAACTGGTGAAAACGTGTCACTCTTAGTTGGTTTTTCTGCTGGTCAGATCCAACTTATTGATCCTATCAAGAAAGAACTTAGTAAACTTTACAATGAAGAGGTAAGCATCTTACAAGACTTTTCCATCTGGGAAAACTAAGAGTTTGAAGAATAATTTTAGTACATGTAATTGTTGTGAGCTGCAGTCACTTTTTAAATTTCTTGAATTTCACCATAAATTAAAAAAATTGTTATGGACTTTTTTGTTGAATGATCAAGAAGCTATAAGTTGATGTGCTGTTTATGTTTACTTAGCTTCTCCTACATCTTTTGTGTTATCATGTGTGATGCATGTTTTAGTATTGCTTTATATACACCTCCATCAGTGAATAATGCCCACATGCAAAACTTGTGCAATTGGATCATTAGTGTACTGGTGAGTTCCTCCAGACATCATTATTACTCTTAACTCTTTCAGCACGGGCTTGGTCAATGGGACCAACCTTGTAACCATCTTGTGCTTGTTATAGTTTTTATGCTATAACTTTTAAATTAGTAAGTGTATGTTAACAAAATTTGGCAGGTTATCAGTAAACATTACAATGCTTTCATATGCAAAATATAAATTTTTTTAATAAGTCTTAAGGTTTGTAAAGCAATATTTTTCTCATGCCTGTTTTGTCTTTTTGCATGTTGCCTATCCAACAAGCAAAGTAATTTTAATTTTAAGATTGAAAATACTTTTATGCATCAGAAAATTTTCAAATTTCACATGTGAAATCTTTATAATGTCCAGATAGTTATCAAATGTTTCTTAAGAAAAATTTTTCATTTTATCTGTTATTTTCAGTAACAAATTTCTGTACGTGTTTGGTAGATTTGACCGATCTCATAACCACCATAAAAAATTAGGAAATAAAAACAAATTAGGCATCTTTCATACTGGAATGAACACAAATTATAACATGAAAACATAAATGTTTAGACTATATAGCTTAAATCTCATAACATTATACATTTATATATATCTATTATTTTTATTACATTGACCTATCAGCCACACCTGGCTAACAATACAGAAGTTACAATGACGTGGCATACATGCATTCGTGCTACTGTATCCAATAATATAAAACTGACCTTTAATCTTTACAAAGTGATCTGTCTTGGCTGTGTTTTAGTAGACTAGTATTTTGTAAAATACAGTCAAAATTCAATTATTATACACTATGTTTGTATATAGATTATTGCTATTTTAAAATAAGTTCTTAAACTTATTTGAGTATTTAAAAATATGTATTTGAGTTTTAAAAATATGAAATTTTTGTGTAATACAGTCTGGAAAATTACACCTGAATGCATTTTGGAAAGTGGGATTATAATGAATTATGTTCACATACTGTGAGAATCCATGGTTGTTTTGGTGCATTTTGCACTTGCTGCCTTCTCTGGAAAGATGTTACTTCCATTTCAGTTTCAGATTTGATTATTTGTTGTTATGGTATTCATTTTAGTTTTGGTTATTGTTTTCTTATAATTGTCACAATTGTACTTGCTGGTAGCAACAGAAAGTTTTGACAGTTGTACAGATGAATCTAGATTTAATGTCTTTTCCAATGATCAATCGGTCCATGTCAGGAAAATGAGAGGTCAACAGTATGTTTAGAGTAGCAGTACATAATATGACTGTTTCATTTGTGTTTCAACTAGTGTTTGGGAAAGCATCAATATTAATCAACATTCAGGTCATTGTTTTGTGCATCTGAGGGGTAGACTAACTACTGTATATGTTGGTGTAGTACTGGATGCAAATGTATTATTACCTTCGTAGGTGCAATCAGACCAAAAGATTATGATGGAGCACCTTGAACATGAAGTCTTGATCTAAATCTCTTAATGCACTTCTGAAAACATCTTGCATTTTTCATAAACCAACTTCTTAATACACCACTTGTGTGAGAATGCATAGTGTCATATCACATGAGAAAATGGACAGAATCCTGTATAGGGTCATTCACAAACTGGTCAGAAGTATGCTTCATAGATGCAGAGATAATGTTAATGATAAGAGGACCCATACGTATTTCTGATTTTATCTTGTTTAATTTTTTATCAAATATCAAGTTGATGTAGCCAGGTCATAACTCTGAGACTTTGGCTTTTGAGAATATTAATGTTCAAAGACTGTAACTAGCAATATATTGTCAATGAAATTGTTTTATTTACTGTATTCATAGAAAAATTGATTCTTCTAAAATATTTTCAAACTTTAGCTCTGATATTCATTTGGTTGAGGAATAATTTAACCATAAGACATTGCCCTTTTAATTTTTGGATTTGTTTATTGCCTTGTCTTTTTGGAAAACCGTTCATTCAGAATTGAAGTCTAAGTATCTATGTGTATGTTTAATTACTACAGATTGCAATGTTGAACACAATATACACATGATACACTAGTACACAAAAAATATCATGAACAAAGTTTTTAATTTCGTAAGTAGTGCTGAATGATTATTGAAGTTTGCTAATTGATTATATTCGATTAATCAGTTACTCTTACATGAGACTAATCTTCTTAACTGCAACATTTTTTTAAGACATTTTTTATTACCTTTCATTCAATATAATAAACATTTTCAGGTACAATAATTTAAGATCAAGCTAGTTTTTTAGTCTTAAACTGTTTTACATAAACATATATCATATACACACTTAATACAAAACCTATAACAAGCTGAAATTGATATTAAAAGCTTTCTGTTAGACTACTAAAACTGGTGAATATTTGTTGAGAAAATAAATATTATGTAACTGATAATAAGTCAAAAATAAAAACTAAATACAGCAGTGACTAGTGAGATTACTAATAGGCACAGGTTAAGTTTTTGGGATCAAGTTCATGATTTTATATGAATACAATCATAATGAGGCAGTCAATCATTTAATGTTGAACAGAATGTACATAACTGTTTAGGTGCATTTTCACCGTAGGGAAAGAATAAACTTAACAGCATGTGGTATTTCCCTTGTCAGAAGTAGAAAAGAATAAGATTATCGTGGGTATAAAATTACTCATTATTTTGTACACAACAATATTTTAGTGTGAAGTATACTGACAGTTTATTATTTTTGATCTGCAAAATGCAGAGTACACAGATCATTATCCTTGTTGAATGTTTAATTGTCATTGCAAATTAAGTCAAAAAATTATGTATTTTAGAATCAATTCCAAGAAATATTATGATAGATGAGTAAGACTTGTTTTGCAAAATTTCTTTTTATTGTTAAACATTATTACATTGCACTCTAGCCTATCATTATCAAAAACCATACGTTCAATCAAATTAAGAATTATGTTGCTTTCAGTATTTTAGTTTCATATCTGTTCTTTTAGCAAATATGCATTTTTTTCTATAATGGCCATGGGTTATAGGCTGACATCATTTTAGTTAGAATACCTTTAATAGTTCTTTATAAAAAAAAAAAATGTTCATTAAAATACATCAAATTATATATGCCAATTATGCATTTTGAATACAAACTACCAACATAAGAATTAATGAAATAATTATTTTCAAATTAATTAAATTAACTCAATAATATAAATATTCTAAAAGGATTATTTTTTCTATTTCACATTAATATGTAGGCATTGTTGGACTTCTAAGTTCTTAAGTTGTGGTTAAAGAGAAACTGTTGTATACAATTATATACTTTTGATATGATAGTATTATCTGCAAAATAAACTCCAATTTTTATATAAATTTTCTATGAACAACATTTGCATGAGTTAGTGTTTTAAAAATGTCACAATTGAACTATTCCACAGATTAGATCAATAATTATCTGCACTTGTAAAGAAAGTATTTGGCTATTGGCAAGAATTTTGAAATGGACAAGAGAACACTTCCTTGTATTTAACTCCTACACTTAACATAATGAGCTAAGTGCTACTATTATTAATTTATAGATCATTGCATGTTTCAACTTACATGAAACAATTAGATATCATTATTAGAGATTGATACTTTGAGAAACTGTTACTTCAAAAAAAAAAAAAGGATACTGGTGAAGTTTCCACCAATAAACTTAAACAAGCATCACCGTAAAAAAAGTTTCAAATTTTGTCTTGCATAAACTAACATGTGAAATGTATTCAGCAAAAATTAGCATAATAATGCTAAACTAAAAATACAAATATCTTTTATAAATTTTTATGATCATTATGATGACTTTTTAATGATATTAATTTGAAGTTATGTTCTGTGGAAGTGATCATTACAAAACGTGCTCATGCGAATAATGGGTGAAAATGTCACTGATAGGTAAACATCTGATTATGTTCTCTGGATTTTTGGAAGAGAAGGCTTAAAACTTAAGGTTGGGGCCTTTATTTGAAGGTTGGTAAAGTTACCACAAACACTTTTTTTAGGCCTTACAAAGACTAGATTGCAATTGCAGTATATTTAAACATAATTGTGGAGTATGTTTTTATAATATTATTGTATACAATATGAAATGTAATGTAGAAAATATTTATGTGGTGTTTTTGTTTCATCACCTTAATAAAATGATTGATACTTGTAAATTTTAATGCTACTGATTTTGTTTACTGAAATTCAGTTAGTACATTTACAATTGTAATTTATCACATGACTGAATGGATAAAGATTACAGCTTCATGAGCATTTACCAGATGATCAGATTGCAGGTTTGAGACATGCCACTGCCTGTCACAACTGGGACACAAATTCAGGAAAGTAAGGTGGTGTGGAGTTACAAATGTAACATATATACAGCATATAAAAAATAAATTTCTTTTTTTAAAACTAAAGGCAAATTATAAATATAAAATAGTGTAAAAAAAGATTAAATTTACACTTTATTCACCACTAAAGTAGCCTAAATGTTGGTAGTGAGTGCTGTAAGCAGTTATCTTTCCTTAGTTTGGCAGTTTAAAATTAGGGATGGTGACAGATAGTCTTAGTAGCTGAAAAACAAATACAACTCCCTCGCAGCTGAAAGGACCAGTGTGTTTGGTGGGATTGGGAATCAAACATGATTCGTGAAGCATTCCCCCTAATCACCCTTTCATACCTACCTAAAGCTAATAAAACTTGAATAAAGCAAAAAACAGTAATAATGACAATATTTCAATTATTTGAAGAACTGAAATAATCAGAAACCCTAATTTTGATTAGTTGATTATTTTTGTGAGTTGATCGTGACACGAGTTGATTAAGCTGAACAAACTTGAATTAATCTAAAATAATAATAAAGAATAATAAAAGCATATTTCAAATACGTGGATAGTTTTATAATTGGTGATTAGGTGATTATTTTCATGACATTAATCAAATAACTCACAGTTTTGACTAACCAGTTGTTTTGGGATGATAATAAATGTAATTGATGCTCATAGGTAATCGAATTAATGATGCAGCTGTAATTTACATTAACTTAATCAGGATATTTGTTTTTGCATATTTTACTTCCAGACACAGCCTTTTCTTCTAATTTTGTGGTTGGTAGGAATTGGGATTCTTACTTATATAAAAATATGTCTTGCATTGTGTATTGGAAACAACCAAGAATAAAGTCAATTAGGTCATTAATAGAAATAACCTTTGGTGCCTGCTGAAATGGAACAGCTAAATTCTACATGTTTTTTGGTGACAATGCAAAAATATCCATGTGTGTCATTTATTGAAACCCCCTGTGCTTACCATTAGCAATTATATCTTCAGATTAAGGAAACAGCAACCAAATTCAAAAGATAACTTTCCAAAATATAGTCAGTTTTAATTGGTTGATATACACTGCTCTATGTAGTATTTGACTTTTTGTTTACAACACTGAATGAGGGTAAGCCTACAACTATGGATTTTTTTGGCACATTGAACTACAAAATAACTAATACAAAATTCAATCAATTGTTCAACTGAAAATCTTTCATAATATTTACTATTTAATTGATGTAACAGCTGACTAATTAGTCTTATTGTATGTGTATACTCTGTCAATCAAAGCGTTAGCCAAATTTATCGTGAAACAAAATGTTGATAGTTTTGTACCTATTATACATATTTAATACTTCCATGTGTGTTAACTGTATATGGTGTTAAGATTGAAGCTGATGATAAAAGAGCAATCAAGCACTTAGAGAACCTTGTGATTGTGAGTCTGAAGACATAGTTAACAGTACACCACTTTCCTTATTATCCTTAAATTGTGATCTCTTCTTAATATGTTACTTTTTGATTTTTAGTCAGATTGGTTATATGAGACATTGAAATGTTTTTGTTATCAGCAAAATTTCATTAGTTTTAAGTAACATGAACTTAATGAAATTTTACTAAAACCATCTCTATCAACTACATTTCAGGAGGTTTTCTATGTGTTATTCTTGGTCTGTACATCTCTTTTTCTCTCTTCTTCTTTTTGCTTACACTTGTGAATGCTAAATCTTTTTAAAATGAAATATAAAAGTTTGAAGAATTAACTCAACTAGTAGTTTTGAAAATTATGAAACTTCATAAATTTTGAAACACAGAAAAACTTTTTAATTTGAAAATGATTGGTAAAGTACTGAGGTCTGTAAAACTTAATATATTATTATGACTATGATGTGAGTTATCTTGTATTTGACATGTATAGTGAGCATTCTCTAAACTTTGACCTGTCAACATGTCATCTGGTATATTTTTAGAAAGTAATTATGCATACATATGTATAGAAGGAAATAAATATTTCAAAAATTGTTACTGTAATACTGAAAATTATATCTATTATATATTTGTGTTATTTAATAGCCCTAATGATTGTTTTCTGTAGCTTTGAAATTTTGTTCTCTCTTTTTTATTTTCAGAGGTTAATTGACAAAACAAAGGTAACTTGCTTAAAATGGGTACCAGGTTCTCCAAACATTTTTTTAGTTTCACATAGCAGTGGACAGATGTATGTTTATAAAGATGATTTACCATGCGGTACGACACCGCCGCATTATCAGATCTTTAAACAGGGAGAAAATTTTGCTGTGTATACATGTAAAACAAAGAGTACAAGAAACCCATTGTACAGGTGGGTTATTGGAGAAGGCTCATTAAATCAGTTTTCGTTTTCACCTTGTTCCAAATACTTAGCAACTGTGAGCCAAGATGGATTTCTTCGTGTGTTTAACTATGACACAATGGACCTTGTTGGATTGGTACGCAGCTACTTTGGAGGGTTGTTATGCGTGTGTTGGAGTCCAGATAGCAAGTATATTGTTGTGGGAGGAGAAGACGATCTAGTAACTGTTTGGTCTTTTCTTGAAAAACGAGTAGTTGCACGGGGTTATGGACACAAATCATGGGTGAATGTTGTGGCATTTGATGCACACAACATTTCCTATGCAAATGGTGTTGATTTTGGTGGAAGTGAAGAAGACCTGTCACCATTAATAGCATCAACTGGTCTAAATGATTCTTCAAAACTGAGCATCCCAAACAATTCCAAGTCAAGTGCTTCAGGGTCAAGTGCATATCAGACTTCAATAGCTACTTCTAATAGAAGTTCTTTAGATATGCAGTCTTTAAATATTACTTCTTACAGGTTTGGCTCTGTTGGACAAGACACTCAGTTCTGCCTCTGGGATTTAACTGAAGATGTTTTAAAACAGCCAATGGGGCGAACACGAACTAGTGTTGTGCTGACTAATCCCTCCATACAGCTCTCGCCTCTATCAAAGTTCAACAATGTAGATCATGCTCAGGCAAACTGTATAGCTAAGGATACTTCTATGGTAGATGGCAACTTAGTGTTACCTTTGAATGTTGTAAGTAAAAGTGGTACATTAGAAAAAGAAAAAAAGTGGACAAAGATCACAAAAGGAACTTCAGTCTTTCCTCACGTAGCAATGAAAAAAATAGTCTAAATAAATCAAGTTACAGTAAGGTTCTGGATGACCCTGTCAGATTGATTGGAACAACCATATGCCCACGCCTTGATGAAGTGCCAATGTTAGAACCACTTGTGTGTAAAAGAATTGCTCATGAACGGCTGACAGACTTAGTATTTAGAGAAGACTGTGCAGTAACAGCATGTCAGGAAGGTTATGTATGCACATGGGCAAGGCCTGGAAAAACGGTATGTTTTGCCTTTAAACATCATACAATAAAAAATATATAAGTTCTCTCTCCAAAGTGTTTGCATTGTTTTCATTTTGTAAATTTTATCATTTCTCTAGAAGAAAAAATAGTTTAGGTTTGCACTGTACTACAAAAACACTATTAAATTTTTCTTGTAACCTAATATACCAAAAGTATTTGCTTCCAGGTACTATTTTCAAATATTAATAACATGGATACCAACAGTTTAATCTTTAGAGTAAGTTTGTGATGTAAATGTTTAACTTAGTGTTAGCAAATTGGTTAATTTACTAGTCAGATAATGTAAAATGACCACTTAATTTTGATCAGTCAAAAACTGTTCAAATATTGCCAATTAATTAAAAACCTGTACCAAATTTCGTAAATACTTGCTCAGGTTTTTAATTAATTAATTAAATTTTTTTTTAAATTAAATAATTTAATTTTTGGCTCCAACATCCACCCCTCTGCTTGTATGTGAGTATTAATGGACTTCAAAATTTAATACAAACAATAAAAACTGTGTTTACTGTGTTGTAGCCTCATATTTATTACTTTTTTACATATTTTGTACATATTAATATAATATAGTGCATGAGATTAATATGTTCCTGATTTTTTCTTGCTGAAATATTTATGGGTGTGTGTGATGTTATACTAGGCTGTATTATGATATCCTTCAATTTTATGCAGCCAATAGGTATGATTTTTTAACTTGCAACATAAAGTTGTAATGACTGACAATATTATTTATTTATGCTACACAGTGTCAAAATGGAAGTACTTTATGCAGCACTGGCTTTTTGTCAGAAGGCTGGAAATTAATCATCAACTGTTTTATTTAATATATTGATATAATTTACATTATTTGTATTAAGTAAAATTCAACACATGAAGTTAAAAAAAAAGTAGTAATAAAAATATTTGACTGATCAGATATCTAACCCTAGTTTAAATACAATCATGTTAAACTCATTCGAAAATCATTTAAAATAACTAATATAAACCTCTATTTGAGTGTATATGTCTGACTGTTTAACTGGTAGTGTGAATGAATAATATTTGGAGTTTCAGTTTCCTGGCAATCATTAATAATTTTTTTTGCTATATAACTTTAGAATATACAGTAAACACAAAGCAGAGCATATATTATAAAATAAGACCAAAATAAGTTTCTGTAAAACAAAGAACAAAAAAAAGATCCAATATTTTAAAAGATTTTCATAGTAAAAAAATTTTATTTACACACTGTCTCTATTTTCACCATACTACATGATTGCTGTCATGTATCAACTAAGTATCTTCCTTAAAGCAAATGTCCTAAAATAATTATCTCAAAGTACTGTGTGCTACATGTAAACAGAAGTGTTCCAAATCAATGTTACTATTTTTTCTTGCAGACAAAGGACAATGATATAAACTTCAACTGCAAGAAATTTGGCTCTCCTGAAAACAACAAACATAAGGTTTTGATATGAAAGACATCAGTAATGAAGCTAAAGCTCAAGTATGTTAAAAGTTAATACATTAAGTCTTACATATTGTTAGTTAGCTTTTGTAACTTGTTGTTTAAGTTGAACTGATAAGTTTTAAAAACTCATTTTCAGGAAACTGATATTAAGTATTTTCTCTGTTTTTCATTTGGAGTTTGAATAAGGTGTTATTAGAATGCTTAAAACTTTATGTTGTTTCGGTTTTAGAAAGATTGAAAGAAATCATTTAGAAAAGCTTTGTTAATCTAAGCTGCCAGAAATTTTTGTATCCACATTTGTATAGGTCTTTATTACTAAAGGTTAACTGTATAAGAATGATGTTCCAGGTCCCATGCTGTCCTTGGAACTAACTTCCTCTGTTGTTGATCATGCTCAATTTGATGGTACTGTTGTCAAACAGAGCAGTTTCTTAATTGCTTAATACTATTAAGAACCTGCGGTATGGTATAACTCAACAAACTGCATGATTTTTTTTTAATGTTGATCAAAGTGAAAACTTTACTTCCTTCACTACATGCATTTTATGTGATATATTATTTGTAATAAGGTAGTTTCTGTAGGTCGCAAGTCCAGTGTTTGTGTTTCCCAATGGTTTTTCCTTTACTATGGTATGCAATACAAAATTAGATCGTGAGGGCACAATGGCCAAAGGGATACTGAAAAGTGGCCATCATGGCCATAGATTTTAGGGATTTGGAAAAATATGGTGGCAATTGCCACTGTGACCACCATGAATTTCCTGCCCTGCATGCCCTCCTCCTTCAGCAAATGATTGTCTAGTTGAGTCGATCATTATGCAGTAGTAAAATTCACGAGAAATCTTGTGAGTTTGGGTGGGAGTTGCCTGAAGGTTATTGCCATGCAAATCTCTAAGGCAGATGATGGGAAAATGTTAACTTTCCACATATATTCTACTGTATTTGAATATTAGTCTAAAGAAGTACATATATGCAAACCATGGGCATAGAAGTCCTTGGGTTCCAGTTAAGTTACTTAACAGACATGTGGGAGAAGGGGATAGCATGAACACCATTTTCGTCCTTCAATATTCATAGAAATGCTACTAGAGTTAGATGTCTGTCTTGGGATAGCCATACCTCATTGTTATTGTAGCAGTGTGGTTTCTTATCTTACATATGGTATCATTTTTTGATAGTAACTGTATTTTACTGTGCACTTTATGAAGTTCAAATTTCCACTTGTATGAGAAACTATAGCAACCATAAAATTCAGTGAAACACTTTTTACTTATTTTCTGAAACACATTAGAAAGCCTTTATTACCACTTAGTTCGTAGAAAGTGTTTCTTTTTGCAATTGTTCAGGTTCATCCAAGTCACATCCATTGTTGCAATGAACTTTCATCTTTTACATGCAAGGTGTTTTTCATATGTTTTTTCTAGTTTATTTTTCTCTCGCCAGTATTAAGGAGCAGCTTCTGCACTCTTGGTTTATTCTTCTTTATATGATAAAACCTTTGTAAATTATTTTGAATTATTTAGAATGTGTATAACTTGGTGATCCACTTTTTTTGAGCAGGGAATTTTTCTTGGATATCCCTTGGTGACAGTAGTAGCAATTCTTCTTGTGTTGAGATGCCTTTTAAATATCCTCCTATGAAAGTTCTGATATTCTCTTGCGGATACTGCTCACTTTGCTGGAGAGATTCATCTTGAAGTTGATGTTTCTTGAAGTCTGCTGCTGTTTGCTGCTTCACTGTTTGAATATCCTGCCTTGAAAAGAGCTGTGACATAACTATTCTCCACAGTCTTAAGCTATTCATGGCTGTATTGCACTGCTGAATGGTTGAGAATTCAGCACTCATCAAATATATATATGTTTTAAGTATGTTGCTTATAGCTAAATACAAGTCTTTCTTCTAAAAGTGCAATTAAACCACTGCATATATATTTATGAATATGTTACACTTAGAACTAATATTTAGTACACTGTATTAAATATCCAAATAACATTTTTACGTGTTCAGTTAACTCAAATAATTTTGAAAAAAGAAATAGTAAGAAGTTTAAAAAAAATCTGATTGTCTATTTCCATATTGATCTACTTGTACAATAACAAGCAGTCCATTATTTGTCAACTTGTAGGTGAACTAGTGACTATTAATGATATTCTTCATGCTTTAAATGATTTCCAAGAAACAGTAAGATTTATCAAATGAATGCTGTTATTAATCTAAATTGAATCCTTGTTGGGTAAATAAATTATATCAAAGGTTTGGTTAACTAGTACATCAAGTTGATTGCTAAAATAATTAACATTATCTAAAAAAAAATTAATAGTATTTTTTTTTGTTAAAGTACCCTTTATATTGAGTTTGTTTTTGTTTTTCTTGCAATTTTATCAGTTATTGCCCCACCCCCTTTTTTTTTCTTCTCTGCTGTTTATGATTTGCATGAGAAAGTCATTTGGATGTCAAATCCTCATAATGCTTTTTCACCTTGAAAAGTTTTAAGCATTTTTTTACAACTATTAATCTCTGGCATTTTGTGAATATACTTATTTTCAACAATGTTTGTAGTCTAATCTCAATAGAACTTGCTTTAATCCTTGTTCTATATACCGTAATAAGACAATGAAATATCCAGGACTGTTTGATACTATTATTTTGGTAGCAGTATTAATGGAATAACAGTCCAGAACTCTGTTTTTGACCATTTTCATTCTAAGCTCCCAGGTAACCGAGTCTTTTGCTTTTCACAGGACAACTTTCTTGGAATTGTACAATTCATGATAATTTTTTCTAGCATTTTTATTTCTTACCGTTAGATTTGCTAAAAGTATCCAATATTCTTATACTTAATGGAGAAGAAGAAGTAGCATTTTGAAGAACTGACTCATGGATAACTTTGGCAGGAAACTTGAAAATCCTGAAATTTTGTAATTCCCATTGTACACTTTTAAGAACTTATGAAACTTTATGACATAGTATCTCACTTGTATCATGATGAATTATACTAATTCAGTAAAAAATACTTCTAATGAATAAAAAGGTTCTCAGAAATGTGTAAGACATCAGTACTTCAGTTTTATCTAAAATTAGTCAAGGTAATAAGTGTTACATTAAAAGATAAAATTCAGTACAAAATTTTTCTTGCAAATTTGATGCAGAACATTTTATATGCTGCAATACTTGCACATGTTGTGTCATTGCAACAATAAAAAAATAGTATTAAATATTTTAACAAATGTGAAAAATCAATATGTAGTAAAATAGATTTTTTGAGGCATGAACACTAAATCTTTCTTCTCAAAATCGACATAAATGTTGGATACATGTACAATTACAACAATTGAATACATGCTTTTTTGCTAACTTCATCCTTATATATAGTTCACATCTGTGAAAAACAGATTTTATGATAAAGCTCAGGAACAACTAAATGTTTTTTTTAATCCATATGGTTAGCTGAAGGATGTTGTAACTCTTTATTGTGGTGTAATAAGCTTGCCCACTGATACTTGTGAGTAGTAATTTGACTTGTTCATATCTTCTTTAAAAGAAATCAAATGTATCAGTTGTATTATTTAACATCAGGCATTGTTTGTGAAAACTGATGACATATATATCTAACGCCTAGACCACTACTGTGTTTGCCGTATTCCAGCTGGCCTGATGAGACATG